AACAAAAGTCAAATAAAGATGCTGCACAAATCAAAAGGATCCCCAGGGCACAGGCTATAATGTGGGATATAAAATGTACCCTGGGTTTTGGAGGTGACTGCAGAAGTAGGACCCACATTGTGGTGGGGATACACTGTCTATCAGTCTTAACCTCCGTTTGCTAGTCTCACATGAAGAAATTCAAAAAATAATCAAAAAGTAGAAATTAGAAGAGTGAGATGTGGGTGCTCTAGCCCACAACGTCCCACATCTATATCACCCTTCACTGCCTGCAGACAGTTGTGGGAACGTCACTGCTCTTCAAAGTAAAATAAAGAAAGAAAGAAAAAAAGGCAAAATAAGGTACTACTGCAGTCACTTCCTAAACTCGGCCCACTTTATATCCCGCATTATATTTGTGCATCTTTATCTGACCTTTGTTTGGGCTTGTTTTTGTTCATATATGTATATGTAGATATATGATTTTTTTATATTTTTTTCACTGTACATATGTACAGGATTGTCACTCATTGACTTCACGAGTATAGCAGATAGGGTCCCTACTGACCTACAGCCAGGGTCTTTCTGCTTTTCAAAATTGGGAATTGCAGACACCCATTGCATTGTCTCTGGTGTGTCAACGTATCCAAAGGTGCTTCCCCCAGATGTTTTCTGCCTGGGTGGACCACACTTATTGATCTCACAAAGTTATGCAAGGTGCTTCCACTGGATGTTTTCTGCCCAGGTGGACTGCACTTGGCCTATTCATATACAGTTCATGTTCCTTTAGCCGTAGCCGCCCTGGTACCTTTATATGTTTCAACTATCACTGTGTTTGGTATGACAATTTGCTGCATAAGTGACATAAGTATGATATGTATGTTGACAACAGGCTGGTTATGACAGTCCTCCCAATCACACTAATACTTGTATGTGTGTGTCTGTATATCCTCAAAACACTCCTGCATATCCAAGGTGTTTCCTCTGGATGTTTTGCCTGGAGGGACCACACTTGTCATAATCCAATGTAACCCAAGGACTTACTTATATGAGTCGTTATTGCTTCCACACTAAGTTTTTCAAGTTTGTATTTGTCATGATGCTATAGGTCTTGTTCTCCAGCACTTCTATACAGATTTGGTGCTGTATGTCTCTTTCCTGAATGCAAATAGCTAGCTTATTCATTTCTGCCCACTTTGTGTTACTGTGTTCTTTATTGGATGAAGAGCATACCTGTTCCAAAAATAGTGCTGTGCTCCACAGGTGGGCCTTCTATTCTTACTGGCATGGCCAGATGGTCAGAACACTTAACTCGCTATCTGAGGGTTGCAGGTTTGATTCCCTGTCCCACCAAACATGCTCACTCTTTTAGCCATGGGGACATTATAATGTGATGGTCAATCCCACTATTTCCACTGTAAAAAAGTATTCCAAGAGTTGGTGGTGGGTGGTGATGACTAGCTGCCTTCCATCTAGTCTTTCACTGCTAAATTAGGGACAGCAGGCACAGATAGCCCTTGTGTAGCTTTACGCGAAATTATAAACAAACAAATAAATCTATTCTTACTCTTGACCACCTATTCTTTCAGTGTGGTCGCTTTCTGCTTGATTTTGTTTTGTTGCACTTTTACTGGCCTATCCACCTTTGCTGGTGTTTCTGGTTTGTACATGCCAATTCTCAAAAGTGAGGATTGTGCTAGAATAATAGAGGGAGCTAGCTATACTAGTATAGATGCCCCAGTAGGATTGGTGGAGGATAGTCACATGATCAGCACAGGTTCTGAAAGGGTGCAAAATTGATTGGGTATAAATGACTGGTGTGCTAGGCAAAAAAAAATTTGTTAGCAGTGTTTAGAGGGCAAATCAAGATTGAGATAGCTTTGGGGTGAGAGGTGGTAAATATGTATCAGAAATACATTTTCAGTATAAGAAAATGTTAACTTTTATTTGCAGAAGTTATATGATTTATAAAAAATAATTCTAAGTTTCAAACTATTTCATTTAGTAGTTTTTTCACAATAAAATAAGACAAACCATATAATAGGTATATCAGATAGGTGCATTCAGATCTTACAGAGTAAAATAAGTTAGAATTATGCTTAAAATTCCATAATTAAAATAAAAGTACAAAAAAAATTATTTATACACTTAAAAACTCAATTACTAGGCAAAGAGATTGGGCTCAGTTTTAGACCTTGAACATGCACTAAAATTAACTTTCTGTTGGCATTCAGTTATCTGTAAAATATGTGTGCATTAACTTAATATTCTCCTAAATATAATTAAGTTAGAAACTGATCAAGATACCATAAGAATTCAATATAACATTAATATGAACTTTTGGTCAAAGCAAGTCACTTACGTAGATCAGAAATAAAAATATATGACTAGTAATGAGCATAGTTAACTAAATATAGTGTTCAGACTATATTACTTTTATTATTATAATGCAGTTTCATCAGTTGCATACTCTCACTGTTAACAGTATTTTTGACTATAAATCCATTATTATTTCGTAGGGTTTAGCCAACCCACAGGCCTTAGGTTATCCTAAATCAACGTACTAAGCTAACAATGCAGAATAACCATGATAATAAAATAATAAACATAAAGCTAAATTAGAAATAATAAAAAATAAATGTAGATGTATTAAATATTTAACCAACACTGTGTGTCTGCACTGTAGTAAAAGTTTTGATTGTGTTGGCTGATGTACAAGTAAGAACTACCACACTATAGTAAAAGTTAACAATTGCTGTTTGAGACTAACTAACACAAACACCTTTAGAAGTTAATGCTGAGGTTTAAGGGCAACCAGTTTGAGCAAGCTGCTGACTTCGTGGTCTTGCATGTGTGTTTGCACAAAATGGAACCTTGTGGTTTGATTGATGATCTATTAAATTCAGTTGGAACAACCACTATTTTGGTTGCTGTTATAATGAATAAGGATATTAGGAAACTCGCCCTGACAGAGCTTGAAACTGGAGATCCTGACAAGTACTCTTGAGATTGATGCTGTGTCAACTGAGGTACCATGACTCAAATTCCAAGCAAATCATTCCAAGGCATGGATAATAATTATAAATTACATATACCAGCACCTGACATTAGAAAAGATTTAAAATATGACTCCCAAGAGATGTGTAGAGAAATAATTGATGATGGGTTTAAATGAAAAAACATCTGATGTCTAAGATATTCTTACAGGTCACTTTGGTTGAATTTACAGAAAGTAAGTAAATTCTTTCTAGAATTGTATAAATCAACCCAATAAAATATGTTTCTTTTCTTCAAACATTGTTAGAAGATACGTATACCACAGTAACTAGGTTAAATGTAAAGAAAATTAGTGTATTCCAAAGAGGGATTTCAAAACCAACCTGATGAACTAAATATACAGAATTCATTTTGCCAAGAATGGTGAAGAACCATCTTAGATCATATTGGAACTGATATTACAGTAGTTTGGTTATGCCTGCAGAAAAATTATATATATATTTTTCTTAGATCTTGTAAACCAACCTGATGAAATGGATGTTTTATTGTGTTTTGCTGAGAACTCTGACAAACAGAATTTATATTAGTTTGAATATGCAATTAACGAGTCTTGTATGTATACGGATAAACCAGTGTGATGAAGTGGATGTATGAAAGATAAATTTCTAAGAACAATAAAACAACATTATTAGAAAATAAATGTAATCAAAATTTTATTTACCAGCATTTCTACTTTTTAATAAGTGGAGATTCTGGAGTTATGCACTCTATTTAGTGATAAGTAAGAACATTTTAATGAATATTAAAGTTAGGAATAATTATAGTTGTCTTTTGAAAACATTCAAAAAAATTAAAACAATTTTGTAAAAGGAGCTAAATAAGTATGGTGTGCAGGATTGTAGCTTTGGTGGGCGGTGGTGGTCGCCCAGGACTCATTCTGCTTGCCCAGCACTCCCGAGCAATGTAACTTCTGCTGCCTGGTACTAAATATCATTGAGAAAAAGTTCGCTATAAATATGAAACATTATTTTGTTGATGTAGCAGTACAGTGTACTTTACTATTAGCTTGTTAGAAACAAACACTTTTCCAGAAAATTCATGAAACAAATAACCTTTGCACTAAAATACTTTTTCAAGAAAAGTCCACAGGAAAAAAACCTGCACATGAAACTGAACAAATGGTCCATGGCATACTAATTCACTTGTGCTTTTTATGGTACATTAGACAATATCATCCACGTTGGATACCATGCAAAGCCTATTTTCTTTACAGTAAAAGTTTATGTAGTGTGTAAAAATATTTTCAAAGTTTTACAGATATCTAAAATATAAAAGAATATCATTGTGTTTTTTTTGCATAAAATCTTTTTTTAATCTGATCGTGACTAATTTGTATCATTTACTGCTGTTAAAGACAGATCAATCAGAAAAATGAAAGTAAAATTTGTCTCCACTTTTATTTTTTTGGACTTGTCATTCACCTTATAACACATGTTTGCCTAGTGACTGCTTTATCCTTTTGAGTCAAGGATAAACAACAGATATGACTACAAAAGCAGTATTTCCTGAGATTAACAGTTAATGTATTGCAATCACTTTAGTTATTAAGACTTCTATTTAATATTTTAGTTTTGTACCAAATTATCTTTTTGTGATTGAAGATACAATAGTACTTTTTGTGAGAAGCTACAAATCATATTTCAGCTGAGTTCTCTAGTAAAATACTGTTAATAGTTGCAGGTATACATAGCTGGTTAGTAGCATTTTCAATAGCACTTATTAAGGTCACATTTTCTTTATTCTAAAACCTTTTGTGTGGTAAAATACAGGTGATGTATCTTAAAATCTGTTGATTTGTGTTTACAGTTTAATTAGAGACATTATATGATCTTGTTTAGTTTCATAGTGAAATGTCCTTGAAACGTTGTGTAAAACATAATATTCATTTTGTTAAAACTCTGCAGTTATTCATGTTGAACTAAGGAATTTGGTTCAAATTCACTTTTATTTTTTTCTATTTGCAGAGCCATGTGGGCAGAGTGGGTTTGAATGTCTTGATCGCAAAAAATGTATACCACAAGCATGGGTATGTGACTATTCACCAGACTGTGATGATGGTTCTGATGAGGAAAATTGTGGTAGGTGTAGGAAATTTCCTAACTTTCCTGGGAATTCATAATGTTTGTTTTGTTTTTTCTCTGAATTTTGTAGAAAGTTGATTAGTAACTATTTTTTATTATTGAATAAACTCAACTATGTATTTAAAAAAATTAAAAACACTGAGTAGAAAGAAAGATCTTTAGCACAACTCTAAAAATCAAAGAGTTCTTTGCACTTATTGTGTGTGTGTGTGTGTGTGTGTATATATATATATATATATATATATATATATATATATATATATATTACTTTAATTAAATAATAATACACTAGTTATATGCTAGCCTTGTGTGAAATATTATGAGTTGAATTATTCTTTTAAGTTTAAAATATACGTTTAGTGGGTGAAAAACCAAAATGATTAAGAATGATGCATGAAAGATTATTTCTGGGACATTCATTTTATGCTAGTATCACTTATGCTATACAAGTTGACTGGTAAAAATCTTAAGTCTTAATGTTTTATATATTATTTCATTAATTACATAATTTGAACCAAACCATAATTGGAGAGGTATATTCAGATGACTCTAATGAAATTTCTGTTTGGTTTGTATGATATGTAACTGTAACCAAACTTGAATTCAAATCAGGTAGACTTACTCTGAAATGCTGAAAGCCTTTCCTTATTGAGTTGAATTCATGCAGGCAACACATCTCCATTTGCAGTAGATACTCATAAGCACTTTCACTCAAAATTAACTTCATTCTCTTCCTCAACACTGTCGTGATGGACGTGTTTATCAAAGTTTAAAACTTTGTTGAATGTAATAGGATTTACACCACTTTTATTCCAGTGTTAACTTTTGCTCATTTCATTTTATTTGGTTACAAGTTTGATTTCAACCTACATCGCCTTTCAGTTATTACATAACACAATTTGATCTGGAGAATTTGTTTCACAACAATGAATTTTCAAGTGGTGGTGACTACTACCTCCTTCTGAAGTTTTGACAATGTTGTCAACACTGACCCTACTTCATCAGTGTTCACTGGAAGCATTGTGGAAGTCATTACTGCTATTGTTCAGTGTGTCAAGGGTTCGTTAATGTCAGGAGTGTGTTCCCTTCTTTCTGCACCTGACCATGAGGATAACAATTTTGATCAGCTCTTTCCAACTCTTGGGTTTGCACTAAGCTCCTCTTTACCTGTAGAGATCAGTGTTTCTCCTTCAAATCTATTTTTGATTTAATTTCTCAGGTTCTGTATTTTCTCATTCATCTGTGCTTTTTGATTCTTCCTGTTCTTTACCACATGCCTCTCGTTTGCTTTTTCCTCCTTACCCATATATATCTGTAAATGCTGATATGTTTCTGGATCAGCTTTGTTTATACACTCTCAAATGCCTTACCCTTCTCAATTTCATGATTCCTTTGCCATGGTTTATGACCACTCCCCTTTTCCATTCTTGGATTCCCAATATATGGAGTCTCTTTTACCAGATTGGGGGGCAGGGGGGGGGGGCTGACCTCTTGTCTCCTTTATATGTCTCTAGTGCTCTATTTTCCTGTCTTCACAATTTTTGACTCATCTCCTTCACTACCTATACTCTCTTCATCTCTCTGAAGCCCCACACTGTGATCTTGATAGTTTTTCTGGAGATCTATGATTGGTACTTTTCAATACCTTGGCCAGTGTATCAACTTCTCTATTCTGCTTACTTGGTTGTTGGGACCTTTTGTATCTCCCTCTCTTTGTGAATGCATATCTTATGGGTTAGGGTGCATCTCTGGATGACTCCACAGCCTCAAGGGCTTGTTTTCATTTCTTCTTGTTCTTATTTCCTATTTTGACTTGTGGATCACTTAGTTATGATTCATTCATATAATTCTCTGGCCCTTTTCCCATCTCAACTGTCAGGGTGGGACTCACACCAGGGACCTTTGTTTCTGCATGTTGGACTTTCTGTTTTGGGCTCACTCACATTGGGTTTGTCTAACTGCCTGTCATATCCCTGGGGCTTTGATCTTAGCAGAAGATTGTCTTTTTCATCTGGACAGGATTCTTCTTATGAGTGGTCACACTATCCTCAGATCTTTTGTTGGATCTTTTCCTAGTTGGGCATGCCAATGATCAATGTCTTTGCCACTCTTCTCTTTAGTTATATCATATCATAAGTAATAAATCTCAGAAAAATGTGTATCTGAATACAAGGTTACGAACTTTAGGAGATAGATTAGGAATTAGAGAGAGAGAAAGAAGGAAAAGATAAAGGTTGAATCTTCGTGACAAAACTAAGCAAAAGTAGCTGTTATAATAGAAGTAAATATGTATTTGAACTACATTTTACATCCAAGGTTTCAAGTTAAGCAGGCAAATAGCTAATAAAATTAATATTTTTCTAAGTTTTTTTTTGTATTTTTTAGAACCACGTACCTGCACACCTAGGCAGTTTCAATGTGCCAGCACACTTTTGTGCATTCCACTAGGCTGGGTCTGTGATGGGGAGCCAGACTGTGGCTTAGATGCTGAAATGAAGCGAGATTCCTCTGATGAAGATGTTCGAAAATGTATGTACTGTTCTTTTGGTATTTATATGTACATGTGGTGAAAATTGATTTTGTGTTCCATACATTGGGAAAATGAAAGACAAATATGGCAGGTCATGGTATACTTCAATTTGTAATTCTTATCATACCTCTTTTACATTTAATGATGGTTTTTAAGTCTTGTAATGTCTAAACTGTTTAATTTTCTTTAGGATCTATATAAACTTTATTATTCATACAAAGCTTGTTCATTTTATATCAAACTAATTACTTTAAACTGAAATAATGTTCACTTTTAACATATGGCAACATTTTTTGCAACAGATTCATCTGGTGTATTTTAACAATAATCGATAGAATCACAGAAATATTGTAAACTTGGTTATTGAATGTTTTGAAAATGTCTGATTGCATCTGAGGAGAAAATTCTTAAGCAAATACAGAAAACAATTATTATTTTTTGTAGAAATTGTTCATTAAAAGAAAATACCTTACAACAACAAAGTTACAAGATTAGAAAAATTCTTAAAGGTATCTAAAGGTAATAGAGTAGAGCAGAGTGATTAGTAGTATTTGCTAATCGATTAATCCCTCTAGTCAGCAATTTGACAACAACAAAAAGAAATGTTATCAATTCAAAATTAATAACATTTGCAAATAGCCTTAGTAGCTTGACCATAACAAATACAGGCCAGGCAAGTTTGGTGGCAATATTTTGATTACCTGGATAGTTGGAATAATCAGAAACACTAATTTCAATTAGTTGATTATTTTCATGACAGATGATTTAATCATAATTTCTATTAATCATTCGTTGGAATAATCAAAAACATTAATAATCAGAAACTAATTTATCTTAATTGTAATTTTCATTAATCAGTTACTTTATACGATACAAATCAATATAATTATTGCTCATACATAATTGAATATAACAATTAATTAAAGTGCCCAGCTCTATACTAGAGTTTATTTTAAAATAAATATAATCCAGTTGAAGTACACTTGTTATTTAAGATGGAGCATTCTTGGTGGATAAAAAAAAGTTTACATTTGAAATTTTATGCTCTTACAACGTGTGGCTAAATCTTTAACAAAGTAAGGTACAGCAGTGCTTCATGTTTGAAAATTACAAGAGAGTGAAAAATCTTTTTTCTTCAACAGTGCCAAAACAGTGATACAATGTTATGTCAATGAAGAGTATAGGATGGCATCAGGAATAATACTTATTGATTGCAAAACTGTAAATTCAGAAACATTACTATGTGTCATTAATGTTATTGTTATAGGGATAAAAAACAAATTCACACTAATCATTGAATGGAAAATGTTTAGTCTTGTTTAGGACATCTTTAAGTATAATAAATTAATATGTGTATTTTTCTATTTTTGACAGCTTACCTATCTTTACATTCAGTATACTACTAAAATAAGTGTAATACTTTTGAACATGTTGTATAAATATCAGAAATATTTGCTTTCATTGACCATGGTCAGTTTAACAGTTACAACTTAATAGCAGCAATGGTTTACTCATACATGTATTTAGCAATTAAATTATGAATATCGCTATATTACTAGATACAAACACAATCAGATTGCTGTAATTAGCAAGGAGCTAATGTCTGCCATCTTGTTTAAAACTCAACCTAAGTAATGCTTAAGATCTAAGTAATGATTGACTTTGTGAAGTGGTGTTGAAATGTTCATATAAAATCTCTGATTCTCACATAATTGTAAATTAGTACATTCATAGTTTTGAGGAAATTGATCAATTGCATACTCAAACTTAAAATGAGTGTGATCATGTGTCTCAAAATTGAAAGTCTGGTACAGAAAGTGTATGAGTAATACTTTGATTTTTTGTAAGTGTAGTATACGAATGTTAAATATCCTACTGCCCTGTAGTATACGTATCTTATCTACACATTTAAACATTTTTCTAAGTTCTAATTTTAAAACATACTAAATCTGGTTGAGATATGGTGTGTTATTTTTTGTAGGTTAAGGAACATAACAGTTTCATGCAGTAGTTGCATTGTGTCCTGTTTGACTTTGTGTATGAGGGAATATTTTTGTGACTGACACATGGAACAGAAATACTTACAGATTTGTATAGTCCTATTTGTGATTGGTCAGCTATAGATTGACTGTACAGTAGATTGTGTTTCATATTATACACAAAAGCTGTGGGAAGGCATACCATCCATGGATAAATTTATTTATGGGAACACACCTAAATGTTAAAGATAATACCCACATATCACATTTAATTGTAGACAAACCATTCTGTAATACAGAGGTTTTTTTGTTTTTCTATGTTTGTTAAAATGTAAAATGTGATACAGTATTTTGTTAAACCATAGTAATAGTTGATTTTTTTTTCTGTTGCTTATTAAAACTTAACATTATATAAGATTTCTGGTACTCTACCTTACTTACATATACATCATTTTCATGTTACCTCTATGCATGACATAAAACATAATGTCTTGTGTAGACTATATTTGTACTTACTCTAGCCTCTGTATAACTTTTAATTTGTAACAAGATTACAAGCCTTAAAATGTTTAGTCCAGTTTACTTCATGACACATTGAAATTGCTAATATTTTCTATTTCTTTTTTATAGCTTTCTCTAGCATTACAGGAGAAGTATTTTTGATTAAACATATGTAACCTCAATTAGATGCATGTGGCTCCTTTACTGAAAAATAATGTTGTACAGTTAATGCCTTGTTCAAAATTTGCACCACAGTATCACTACTCAGAACAGTGTCTAGTGAAATACTGAATAAATGATCTCTTATATGCACGAACAGTTCATTATTGGCCACAAGACAGAATTTCACTTATTAATCATTAAAACCTTTTTGCTGCATGAACAATTTTATTGTTAAATTACCTCTGAAAACCAATGTCTTAGAAGCAAATAAAAGTAATTTTTAATTTTTCAAAAACTTTTGCTTATTCCTGTCCACTAATAGGTGTGTATTTTGACCATTTCAACGTATAATAATTGAACCTTATGATGTATTCTGTTATACTCAGGTAACAAGGGATTTGCCTGTCCAAAAAATTACTTTCGCTGTAATGATGGTATCACATGCAGGAGAATTGTGCAACTTTGTGATGGAGTGAAAGATTGTCCAGATTTTTCTGATGAGGGTTCTTTTTGTGGTGAGTAAGGAATTGAATATAATTTTTTGAACACAGTTTATTTATCAGTTTTGATTGCTTGAGCATTGAAGTTGTGAATGAATTTTCCTTTCTCTTGTGATATATTTGTGTTAGTGTTATTGTGCTTTTTTATTTACATTTGTTTGGATTTTCTTGCTTTTCTCTTTTTTTCTGTCTTGTTTGATTTTATTGACTTTGCTTTCTTTTACAGTAGATTAATTTCTGTTGTGTATATTTTGTATATAAGGATGAAATAAAGTTTTTGTATGTAGAAAAACGTGATGCTTCTCGCTATTTTTTTCTTCTGTAAGAATGCTTTTCTGTTTTTACCCATATATTTTAAATGTATATTGTATGTGTCTTTTTTTTTTTCCTATGAAAGGTAAGGGATCATATTATTGCTTGTAGGACAAACAATACATGGTGATGGTTAACTTACCAGCTGACTTTTGCTAGGTTTAATTTTTGCATATCCCAGTTTCAATATTTTTTCTTTCTTTCTGGGCCCAGCATGGCCAGGTCATTATGGAGCTTGACTTGCAATACGAGTGTTGCGGGTTCGAATCCCTGTTCCTCCAAACTTACTTGCCTTTTCAACTGTAGGGGCATTATAATGTGACAGTCTATCCCACCATTAGTTGGTAAAAGAGTAGCCCAAGACTTGGTGGTGGATGGTGCTGACCAGCTGCCTTCCCTCTGGTCTTTCACTCTTAAATTAGGGATGGCTAGTGCAGATAGTACTTGTGTAGCTTTGTGTGAAATTTCAAACAAAACAAAACAATTCTTTCTTTCTTCAGAAAACAAAACCATGTGTGAAGGGAACTCCTGCAAATATGGATGTCGACCAGGTCCAGTGGGTCCATTGTGTTTTTGTGCTATGGGAGAGGAACCGAGTGATGGTAAATGTGTTGGTGAGTTAAATTTAATTTTTCTTTAAACTGCAACTCTTAAAGATTGCTTGCATTATTTGACATACATATATGTACATGACAGTCATGAAGAAGCTGTATATTAAACAGATTTATAAAATATAAACACAATTCAATTTTTGTATTAGTTGCATCTGTGCCAACATACTCACATATACAGTATATGTTGTAATTGAGCATCATGGGGATCAAAGGTTCTTTAAAAGTAGTTGCTGTTTTTCTTTTATTTTTTTTACTTTTCTGTTTTTTTTTTCCTCCTTACACCTTCAATTACAACAAGAATGACATGCATTCTTCCAGCATCTTGTCTGACAAGTATTTATGTATGTATACCAATCTGTTAGGAACTGTAATATTTGTTTAATCTGTAAACAGCAGTAACATGATCTGGGATAATGGGCTTCACACGTACATACACGTTACACTTTTAGCATAGGTATTAAATTTTATGATTATTATCAATAATTACAATAAGTTTGTAAATTAAAATCAAGTTGACTTGCATCTGAATTACTGAAAACCTTTTTTGCTGATTTTGAACTTATACTGTCAAGAAAACATGATTAAAAAACTTTTTGAATGTCCTACACTCATTGTAGGGAACTTGTCACGTACCCAGGATTCTTCACATTCCCACAATATGTGATTTATTTTGCAAACATCAGGGGAATTACATAGCTTTAACTTTGTTATGGCAACCTATCTGTAGCATACAGGGTAACTTTATAGTCGTATATTAGGCCTTGCTTGTTCAGTATATTCATGCCATTGTATACTGGTATTCCTGACTCTATCATGATCATGTGGACACTTGATTTGTGTACAAGTTTTCTTTTGTTTTTGATGAAGGTTGATATTTTGCTCAGGCCTAACAACTTTAGAGTCTGCAGATCTAGATTTATGTACTACAGTGCTATCCCTAATCCTGGTGATGCTTCTGCTGGTTTCTTTTTCTCTCACGTATGTTTTATTTTTAGTATTGAACCTAGTTCCTTTATACCTGAGGCTGCATGTGTCATGTGAGACAATTAGCTGATTTAGTAAATGAATATTTTATTTTTCTCACCATCTCCTAATATTGGGATTTTGGATATTTTCTGAACTAGATCTGTATTCATACACTTCGTATTTCCCTTCTACTATTTCTTTAAACAAGTGGTTATGTGGGAGAGGTCTTTCACATGTTTGTTTTTTACTTTGACCCACTGTCATTCTTTTGCTCTGCATACAGTGATTTGTCTTGTTATGAGTCATTATTTTTGTGCACCATTATCAGCTATTGTTGTTGATTATCTTTAATCAGGATCGGACATATACTTTGATGTCTTCATTCCATATGGGTCTCACTGAAATTGTTTCTCTGATCACATGACCATTTATATTTCTTTGACAAGTTCAACTGTTTTTATTAAGGTGACCTGTACACACACACACACACACACACACACACACACACACACACTTGTTTGTTTTGGGTTTGTCTTTGCAGATATTTCGCTTTAACCCTATCGGCATGGGTACCCTTTACTCGGTATGACACAAGGTTTTAGCATCTTACATTCAAAATTTTATTGAACTACTTTTTGTTTATGTTATACCAATTATAATAGCTTAAAAATCTTAGCCAATAATCCATATTTTAATAGTATACAAGTTTTAAGTTCTTAATTCTACAAGGAAATTATATAAAAAATCCTGAAATTCCACTAGTGCGACACACGTGACACATTTTGGCTTAGCATGTCATCATTCCTATTTTATCCATCACCCCTCGAAAATGTATGAAATTAAATGTAAAATACAATATATAAAACCGTTATTGCTGAAACAGACCATAATTTTTATAAATATTGTTTGTTACAGAGCTATTCAATAGAAAATCAGACCCCTCCTGCCACACCCATTGTCACATCCTCTCTTTCACAATTCGTTGATAGTTCTCTCGTACGTTTCATTATATATTACCTATAACCAATAGAAAGTCAAGATTTTAATCTATCAAATGACGTATTGTATAACATTGTATTCTGAACAGAATATTGTTAATTTCACTCACAGTACAAGATTCATTCCCATGGGAAAGTTAATCACAAGCTTGGAAGAATTTATAATGGTTCTTGTCACATTGTTAGATAGCCAGGAAAAGTTTGAGAGGTAAGTGAATTTGTCTACTTTTTGCATGTTATTAGTCTATATTCTTTGGTGTATTATTTAATTAAATAAAAATTGTTTACTGCTTTATTATAATCACTAAAAACAAATCAGGCTGAACTTTCCTCGCAATTGAGAGCAAGGAAAAAGAAGATTATGTAAGTACTTTATTTCTTGTTTTTCACATTTATTATTATAAAAGTAACTAAAATCTAAAAATAGGGATCTTTTTAAGTTATTTAAGACTAGATTGGGTAAAATAAGTAGTAATAATAATATAACTAGAATGGTTCATGTTGCACACATGCGAGCAACTCATGGGTAATGTAATTAGATAGCGCAACGTGAGCTGCACATTCCCCAAGTGATTTACAACTTTTATGGTAGGAATAGCAGTTAGACATGGTTAGAAGGGCAATAAAACATTAAAATTTAATTATAAACAGATGTATATTGTTACAAACTTAGAGCTACTAAGGATAAACGAATATAGTTTCAGGTTACAATTTGAAGTCATTCTAGAACGAAAAGAAGGTTAATTTATTTTTATTTCGATTGTTTGTTTTTTTGGTGGTTATGAGGTTGGTCGAATTGATTGATACCGTTTTGAGATAGGGTAGAGAAAATAACATAAAAACTATATTATGCAAAGGAAATTTGAGATTTTTGAGATGACTAAAAGTATTTTTAATTTTGATATGAAAATCACTTTGCACTCAGACTAGTTTAAAAAAAAGAATCAATATTTTCATGGACAAATTTAAATAAAAATACTTTATTATACTTCTAATGTTTACTATAAGTCTACAAAATGATGTAAAGATACACTTAAAATATTAAATGTTATTAGTATGTAAACTATAATGAAGTTATGGTTACGAGGTCGGTCCCCGGGACGGAGCCCGTGTCGAAAGAGTTAACTTGTTATCCATTCAGAAGAAGCTTGCAAGAATTAGGTGATTAGAGTTGTAGCATCTTCTTTTGCTTCTGTCACCTTTGTCTTTCAGAGTCCTGTGTGTGTGTAATGTTCTTCAATGCCTGCAACATCTACATATACTTTTCATCAATGTAACAAAGAAGGGTCTTTATGACCCACTCATTGACTTTCTGTTTTGGATGAGACTTCTGGACTTTTGCAGCTGTTCTCATGAAATTCTTCAATTTGATTTTCTGTTTGTCATCCTTTTCCAATTTTGTCTCTGCCAGTTTCTTTTCAATATTGTATCTGTTAGTTTTAAACATTTTTTATAACAATGGAATATTGCTGGTGTACTACATATGTTTCTGGGTTTTTACTCTCAATTCTTTTTTATGCTGAAGAGAAAAGGACATTGGAGATTGGGATTACATCTTTCCCATCTTGTTTGTTTTCTAGATATTCCTACTTTCCTGGTGGAACCTATGAGAATCTTATGAAAGTTTCTTCTTCAGAGTTTTTGGATGACAATTGGAGATTTCAAAGATGTTTATTTATATGTCCACTTATCTTCTCATCAGTTTCTTCATTTTTCACATTGTGTAGTTTGTATCAGTTTATGCCCCTCACTTTATGTCTTTATGTGTGTAGTTAAACTGTCAGCTGGTATTCTACATATACTCGGTATCTTTTGTTATTGTTACATGGATGATTTGAGGATTCTTGCTTAGTCTTTGACTCACATTAAATTGACCTTCCAATTATCTTCTTCTTTGGAGTGGGTTGTTCACAAATTCAAGTCTTAGCTTGCTTTTGCCTTCTCAGTATCTTTTTCATTTGCAATTTAGTATCAGCACTTGTCAAAAAACTCTCTATCCATTTCCTTTGGTTCTGTATTCCCCAGAGTTTTTGGTACACTTACTTCTCCATCTGCCAAACACTTCCTCTGTGTTTTGGGAACAGTTGTTTCTCTTTGAATGGCAATTCCCTTGGATTGTGTTTACTTGAGACACTGTTACTGGGAAATTATAACTTCATGGAGTTTATCCTCAGACCTGTTATCTATTGGAAATTTTCATAGTACTCTCAATTACCTTCAAGTATGGCTCAATCATGAGTTTTTTTCCATTGTAGGTTTTCCTTTTTTTTCCATATCCATCCAACATGGATCTTTTCGCTAACAACTTTCTCCAGGGCTAGGGCTATATTTTGGAGAACCGTTATTTTTTGGGTCTGTGTTCTTCTCAGAAATCCTGTTCTCACATCTTTCTATTGGAGCTTTGGGCTGTTCAACATTGATGTCAAGAGTTCCTGCCCTTGTTTAATTAGTGCTGTGTTTTATTACTAGTGGCATTTATCAATAGGCAGGATGGGTCTCAATCTCACAGCCTTTTTTTGCTGTTATATTTCTACTTTTTTGGCTACATTTACATCACATCTTTTTCTGACCTAGTATTTCGTTGATTGTGTTAACAGTTTGGTCATCCAAAACTTGATGCATTTGCAATGGCAGTGCATCATCTTCTGATGCTTTACTGTCTGATCTTCTCAGTTAACTCTGAATACATGGTTGGTCAATTTGACCGAGTCACATGACCTTTTGTACTCGTTTAAAGTTTATAGATTTAATACATATAACTCTCAATATAGTGGGTATATCGTCATGAAATTTGGCAGTCTTTCAGTTAATATTACAAGTTTTTTACATACAAAAAGTCATATTTCTTAGTGAAGTATTTTTAATACAATAATATAAAGATTTGTCCATGAATATATTGAGTAGTTGTTTTGAATAGTCTGTTTGCAAAGTAATTTTCATGTTAAAATTAAAAATACTTTTCATCATCTCAAAAATCTCAAATTTCCTTTGTGTAATACCTAAAACCTCCTAAATGCATTTCAAACGTTTTCTTTC